TCTACTTTACGCCAAAGAAGCAAAATAGAAAATGAATTTTGCTGTGATTACAACTGCGTCATGATTATGGGCCTATTTAAACAAGGTCTCCAAGACAACAGCTAAAAATGAACAATATTTGATTTCTGGTGAGACTTCTGAATAATATCTTAGCTGCCTTGTTTTTTAAAAAAGATTTATTTATTTATTTTAAAGTCAGAGTTACATAGAGAGAGGAGAGGCAAAGAGAGAGAGAGAGAGAGGTCTTCCATCTGAAGGTTCACTCCCCAGTTGACCTTAATGGCCAGAGCTTCTTCCTGGTCTCCCATGCGGGTGCAGGGCCCATGGACCTGGGCCATCCTCCACTGCCTTCCTGGGCTACAGCAGAGAGCTGGACTGGAAAAGGAGCAACTGGGACAGAATCTGGCACCCCAACCAGGACTGGAACCTGGGGTGCTGGCGCCGCAGGCAGAGGATTAGCCTAGTGAGCCACGGTGCCAACCTGGAAGCCTCTTGAGTAGGGTTAATCTTATGAATATAAACTAAACTGAAAGTAGATCATTGTAAAAATAGAGAGAGGGAAAAAGAGAGGAGGAGGAGGATGGGTGGGATTGTGGACAAGAGGTAAGGTTGGTGGGGAGTATCACCCTGCTTCTCTATCTGATTATATGAAATTTGTTTACCTTAAAAATTTTTAAAAATAACAGACATGTTAAAAACAATAAAGTATATAGCTAAATGTCAATCACATAGCCATCTTTACAAATGGCATTGCTGTCCCGGGCTGGTGTGGCTCAGCAGGCTACGCCACGGCCTGCATGCCGGTGTCCCATATCAGAGTGCTGGCTCAAAGTCCAGATGCTCCACTTCTGAACCAGCTCCCTGCTAATGCTGCTGGGAAGGTCGTGGAAGATGGCCCAATGCTTGGGCCCCTGCCTCTCATGTAGGAGACCCAGGGGGAGCTCCTGTCCTGGCTTCAGGCTGGCTCAGACCTGGCTGTTCCCCACATTTGGGGACTGAAGCAGTGGATGCACACTCCCGTCTACTGGTTAATTTCCTAAATGCCCACAGTGGCAGGGCTGGGCCTGTCCAAGGCCAGGAGCTGGGTCTCCCACAAGAGTGGCAGGGGCCCAACTTGAGCCATCACTGCTACCTCCCGTTGTGCCTCAGGGAAGGCAGGTGCCAGCCTAAAGGGGAGGGACTCAAACCCTTTGACGCCCCCTCCTGGCCAGTGAAGATGGGCCACGGGACGCCCAGCCACAGACTAAAGCTGCATTTCCAACATGTCCATGGCACGCATCCTATTTACTTTAAAAAAAAAAAAAAGATTTATTTATTTGAAAGACAGAATTACAGAGAGGCAGAGGCAGAGGGAGAGGGAGAGGAGGGGGGGGGGAGAGAGAGAGGTCCTCTCTCTGGTTCACTCGCCAGATGGCCACAATGGCCGGAGCTGCACCAATCCGAAGCCAGGAGCCAGGAGTTTCCTCCGGGTCTCCCACGTGGGTGCAGGGGCCCAAGGACTTGGGCCATCTTCCACTGCTTTTCCAGGCCATAGCAGAGAGCTGGATCAGAAGTGGAGCAGCTGGGACTTGAACCGGTGCTTATATGGGATTCTGGCACTGCAGGTTGTGGCCTTACCTGCTACAGCACAGTGCTGGTCCCCCTATTTAATCTTTAATAGACCTTAAAACAGTAATAACAATATTTATCAGAGAAATTTCTCATAGGAATTTGGCAAGTACTGCCCAATCCCTTTTCTTATTGCAATATGTATAATTTATCTTCTGAAAAAATGTATTACCATGACTTGATACCAATATACAAGTCACGAACAGCTCCTCCAATTTCTTCTTCACAAGAAATAAAACAATCATTACCCATATTTAATTTATGAACCCATAAAACAGCATTTGGCTAAGGTCTTCTCTCGGTAGACCAAAGCACACTCACAATTAGAGAGTCAAGCCCATCCTGTCTCTGTGTGGGTTTTGCTGTAGAGGAAAAATGGTTCTTCTATCTTCTTACGCTCTGTGCCTGAGGCCTGCGAGTTAACCGATGGATTCAGAGGAGAAAATCAATGAGAGTATGGATGCATACACGCAGAAGAGTGCCGGGTGCGTGGCTCACGGGCGTGGTGAGAATCCAGAGCTTACACACCATCGCAGTGTGTGATTGGGGAGTGAGAAAGTGCGTGTGGGAAAGCAATGCTGTTTTGGAATGGAACGGGATCACAGGGGAACAGGCAAGAGATAGGAGAGTAGTGGTACTGCTTTTCTATCCAGCTGGACTCGACAGAGGACCTGGAGCGTGTTTATTCATGCTTTCTCTCCTTCGCTTTGTTCTCCAGCTAAGACAGGAGAAAAGATGACCTTCCCCACATATGTTACGCTCAGCACAACTACCAACAGAGCCAGCCCAGAACAGGCCCAGGGCAAAGGCCCAGCAAAGGCTGGCTTTTAAACTTTTTTTTTTTTTAAGATTTACTTATTTATTTGAAAGGCAGAGCTGAGAGAGAGAGAGAGAGATTTTTCATTCACTGGTTCACTCCCCAAAAGGCTGCAACAGCTGGGGCTGAGCCAAGCTGAAGCCAGGAGCTTGGAACTCCATCTGGGTTTCCCTCTTGGGTGCTGGGGCCCAAGTACTTGGGCCATCTTCCACTGCCTTCCCAAGTACATTAGCAGGGAGCTGGATCAGAAGCAGAGCAGCCAGGACCTGAACGGGTGCTCACGTGGGATGCCGGCATCACAGGCAGCAACTTAGCCCACTGCGCCACAACAAGGACCGCTTTTGATGTGAGGAAGGCGGGGCTCTCCTCATGGGTTCAGGGAGGCCATAGTGACAAAAGTCCTAGATCCGTCTAGAGACAAGTCCTAGACAGCAGCACACAGTCCAACCCCTGTGCCAGCATCCCTGGCCCCAACAGTCCTTCTTCCTGTTCCTTTGGCCACCACAGGTGCACAAGCCAGCACTTCACTACCAGATCACCTGGAGAGAAGCGGGGACTATGAAGCTGCAGACTGCGATGGAACCGAATGGAAAAACCAGGGCAGAGGGAGAGACTGGCTTCCTTGTCTCTCGAGCATTCCAGCCAAGCTTCCTATTGGTCAGGGAGAACTCGTGCGTTTCTTCAAAGACTCTCTTTGAAGGACTGAGCATCGTCTTAGCACATAACAAGACCTTTTCACTCTGCTTCCAAAAGATCCGGGTTGGTTTGATTATAAAAATAACAGTTTACTCCCCTGAAAGTCGTCAAGGAAAATTGGCCATGCAGGGAGTGGTGCTGCATTCAGCCACGTTTGTGTTCTGACTCCTTATGCTCCCCGCGGCCACACAGAACCACCCCCACCCCACAGCAAACAATTACGGCCTCTGTGCCCTTTTCTCTGTTTAAACACTTTCCAAGTAAAAGTTGTTTGGGGAAAAAAAGATGTAATCTCTCCTCAAGATACACAGTTCCTGGCATGTTCACTCTCTTTGTATAGTTTTTAAAGATTTATTAATTTGGGGGCTGGTGCTGTGGCGTAGCAGGTTAAAGCCCCAGCCCACAGTGCCAGCATCCCATATGGGTGCTGGTTCAAGTCCCGGCTATTCCACTTCTGATCCAGCTCTCTGCTATGGCCTAAGAAAGCAGTAGAAGATGGCCCAAGTCCTTGGGCCCCTGTACCTGTGTGGGAGACCAGGAAGAAGCTCCTGGCTCCGGGCTTCGGATCAGCTCAGCTCTAGCTGTTGCGGTCACTTGGGGAGTGAACCATGGATGGAAGACCTCTCTCTCTGGCTCTACCTCTCTATAACTCTATATTTCAAAATAAATAAATCTTTAAAAAAAAGATGTATTGATTTGAAAGGCAGAGTTCTCTCTCTCTCTCTCTCTCTCTCTCACACACACACACACACACACACACAGTCTTCTATATGCTCATTCACTCCCCAAATGGCCAGAATGGCTGGTGCTGGGCTAAGTCAAAGCCAGGAGTCAGGAACTCCTTCTGGGGTTCCCACACAGGTACAGGGGCACAAGCACTCGGGCCATTTGCCACTGCCTTCCCAGGCAGGCACATGAGCAGGGAGCTGGATCAGAGACGGAGCAGCTGGGACTGGAACTGCTGTGATATGGATTGCCAGAACCACAAACAGCAACATAACCTATACCAGGCCACAACACTGGCTCCCGGACATGTTGTCTCGGTCTGATGTTTCTTTGGTTACTATTTTACTTCATCTGTTGCACATTAGTAATGGGGATTAAACTGTTATGACAATTCTATTTCCATATTCACCTCTCTCCCTACACCCACACATATCACTTCTACCTGGAACACGTTTGCATGGGGCCAACTTCTAGTTCATCCCTTATCTTTCCACAATCTCCCTATGCTCACCTTTAAAAAAATTTATTTAGCGGCTGGTGCTGTGGCACAGTGGGCCAGGCCTCCACCTGCAGCCCCGGCAACCCATGTGGGTACCAGTTTGGGTCCCAGCTACTGCACTTCTGGTTCAGCTCTCTGCTGTGGCCTGGGAGAGCAGTGGGGGATGGTCTAGGTGCTTGGGCCCCTGTACCCATGTGGGGGACCCTGAGGAAGCTCCTGGCTCCCAGCTTTGGACCTGCTCAGCTCTGGCTGTTGTGGCCATTTGGGGAGTGAACCAGTGGATGGAAGGCTTCTCTCTTTCTGCCTCTCTGTTACTCTGCCTTTCAAATAAATAAATAAACCTTGAGAGAGAGAGAGAGAGAGAGAGAGAGAGACAGAGAGAGAGAAAGAATCTTCCATTCACTGATTCACTTCCCAAATGGCTGCAATGACCAGGGGTGGGTGAAGCCAGGAGCCAGGAGCTTCATCCATGTCTCCCACGTGGGTGCAGGGAGCCAAGCACTTGGGCCACCCTCCACTGCTTTCCCAGGCACATTAGCAGGGAGCTGGATTGGAAATGGAGCAGCCAGGACTCAAACTGGTGGCCCTATGGAATGCCAGTGCTGCAAGAGGTAGATTAACCCACTACATCACAATGCCCCCCTCCCACTCCATGCTCACCTTTTAAAGCCACATTACCAGCACCTTGAGGGCTTCTCCGTCCCAGTGGGCTAATCACTGCCATCCTGAGGCACTGCCACTGTGCTCTGCACGCCTGGAGGAAGGGGCACTGGGGGCAGCAGAAATCTGACCATCAGTGGATGAAGGTAAAGGTGGCAGAGTGGCATTAGACAAGGGGTGTTACCGGAGAATGGCAGGGTTCTTGTCTTCATGCAAGAATTCAGGCGTGAGACAGAGAGTAGGAGGAGGTAAAATAGAAAGGAAGGGACATCCGTAAGGACAGATGGGCACCTCTCCAGACAGGACCTGAGGGAGTGCCCAGTCACTCGGACTTGGGGGGCAGGAGGAGGAGCGAGGTTACATGGTTGAGTGGAGAGATTACACCTGACCAGGCTAGGCGGGCAGCTCAGCAGAGAGGCAGAGGGCTGAGCGCGCAGTCCGGTTGAGGCCGGGGGTTTTTAAGGAGATGCTAATGTGCCTGGGAAAGCAGTGGAGGGTGGCCCAAGTGCTTGGCTCCCTGCACCCACGTGGGAGACATGGATGAAGCTGGAGTTGAGAGTGAGGGTTTGGAAGGTGTCTCCAACAACACAGCTCCCACAGAAATGTGATGTCCTCTCATCCGATCAGCTTCTCATCCACCGCCTGCACTAGGAACAGCCCTGAGGTCTCGCTGAGTGACTCCTCAGCACATACTTCCTAAGCACTGCCTTGTGCCTGCCACTGTTCTAGGGTTGGGATGTAGAAATCAAAAGGACCAAGTTCTTACCCCAAGGAGCTCACATTCAAGGGACCCTTGGGTCCTTATGTTCTCTAGAGGTCATGGTCACAGGCCCTGAAACGTGGATGTGGACCTGACGGATTCGATCTTTGAGACACAGGCCTGTGCGCCCGTCCTGCCTGCTTTGGCCTACCTGCTTCCATGTCGGCCTCTGACATAGCAGCCGCGGTCTCCCCAGGCACTGCTGGGGTCCCCGAGGACTGCTGTTCCCGGTGAGTGCACCGAGCACTTCCTGGGTCAGGCTGCAGGTGCACAGTGGACTGTCAGGTCTGGCTCCAAGTCAGTCCCAAGCCTGTTTCCTGATCCATGCCCAGGCTTCCTGTCTCTGCTGGAACTCGCGTCAACTTAAGCCCACACCAGGCGGTACATGATTTCAAAGCTTGTCTCCTTCTTGAAGATTCTGCAAAAAGCCACAAGGAGTAGCCAGGCGTGGTCCTCAGGTCCCCTAAAGCTCCAGTCTCGAGAGGCACACGGACAGAAGTGCAGGACACAAGGGGACCTGGGTAGCCAGGGACGTGGAAGGACAGAGGAGTCTCTTGTCTTACCTGATTCAGTGGAGGGAGTGTGTTCCTCCCAGCCTCTCGCTCCAAGCTCCTCGTCACGGTTCTTTGATGGTCAGCCATGGAACCCAACATTGGTTAATTAAAGTAAAAATGGAATTCATTCAAAGTACATGGTGTAGCTCGCAGACTCAAAGGAGAAGCCAGGCCCCAGAGAGGGAGGCAACTTAAAAAGCTGTGCAGAGCAAGATCTGCGGGCGGTGTTCTTGTTCCTGTTCTGTTTTAGAACAGGCAACTGCTATTACTTTTGGTGACGCTGTCAAGGGCTCCCAGGAGACGGGTTTTTTATTTGTGGCACTCGGGTCAGGTGCTCACCCCCTTGGCAGGGGTAGGGGTCGCATCCACTGACAGCCCCTGCAGGACCATGTGCAGCAGGAAGGTGTTTCTAGCAGAGGGAGGGGCTGTGGTCCCCAGGGAAGCAGAGGTATTCAACACACCATGTTTTTGAAATTCAATGTGCACGTGAACTGCCTGGGAACCTTATTAAAGACACAAATTCTGATTCGAGGGTCTGGGGTGAGTGATGGTGCCAGTGCTGCTGTTCTGAGGACCACACCCTGAGTACCCACATGAGGTCTAAGAAAAATGCCAACCACTCCACACGCGCTCTTTGTCCCGGTACCTGCCGGGGAGCTCCACTGAAAGCAATTTCTCTCTCTCTCTTTAATATGTTTTCTTATATTTCACTCATTCACCCATCTTAAAAAAAATTTTATTTAAAAGGCAAGAGAGACAGACACAGATATCATTCATCTACTGGTTCATTCCCCAAAAGCCCGCAACAGCTGGGGCTGGACCAGACTGAAGCCAGGAGTCAGGGACTCGTTCTGGGTCTCCCATGTCTATGCCAGGAACCCAAGCGCCTGGACCATCGCCTGCTGCCTCCCGGAGTGTGTGTTACCAGAGAGCTGGATCAGAAGCAGAACCAGGATTCAAACCCAGGCCCTCTGATCCAGCTCCTTGCTCATGTGCCTGGGAGAGCAGCAGAAGATGGCCCACGTACCTGGGCCCGTCCCACTCACGTGGGGAGACCAGGATGGAGTTCCAGGCTCCTGGCTTTTCCCTGGCTCCTTGCGGCTTTTCAACGAGTGAACCAACAGATGGAAGAGCTCTGCATCTCCTTCTCTGTCGCTCTGCCTTTCAAGTAATAAATAAATCTTTAAAATGTATATATATATATATATATGTATACACACACACATATGTTGTATATATTCCCTATATATCAACAACCAAGAAGAAAATGAAGTGGAAGAGGATACTGACTTGATAAAAAGTGGGATTTCAAAGTTATGGAGGAAAGATTTCTCACTCCCAGTGGTGATGGGGCAGTTTGTGATGTATCTGGAAAAACATAATTTAGAGCCCCATCTCGCACTATGCATAAAACAGAAAATCTCAAATGAAATAGAGTTCAAGTATTAAAGGACTAGAAGTATGTGCAAGAGAATGGTTCTATAAACTTGTATGGAAAAGGGCTTTCCAAACATGAATCAATACTCAAAGGCCAGGGGGCCGGCGCTGTGGTATAGCCGGCTAAGCCTCTGCCTGCGACACTGGCATCCCTATGGGCGCTGGTTTGAGTCCCGCTGTTCCACTTCTGAGCCAGATCCTTGCTAATCCAGCTCCCTGCTAATGGCCTGGGAAAAGCAGCAGAAGATGGTCCAAGTGCCTGGGCTCCTGCCACCCACATGGGAGGCCTGGATGAAGCTCCTGGCTCCTGGCTTTGGCCTGGCTGTGCCCTGGCTGTTGCAACCATCTAGGGAGTGAACCTGCAGGTGGAAGATCTTTGTCTCTCCCTCTCTCTGAAGCTCTTTCAAATAAATCTTAAAAAGCAAACAAATAAAAAAACCCCACAAAAACCTCAAAGGCCATATGAAAAAGGTGACAGATTCATTCATAATATACAAAGAGTGTCTACAGATCAGTAAGACAGTTCAATAGGAATACAAGTAAACAGTATGAACTAGCAATTCACAGAGAAATATCTGTGACTAGGAAATACACAAAAACAGGCCGAATCTCCCTTCACTATCATTCAGGAAGTGGTTTTTTTGTTTTTGTCTTTCCCATTGGACTGGACAAATGTCCCAGCTGATGATACCCAAGACTTGTAGCAGAACAAATCACCCATAAACCGTGTGCACGGTATGTGTGGCAGGCCTACGTGAACAGCAGCTGGGCCACTAAAAATGCAAATCCTCCAACCCCACTTCTAGGAGTCTCTCCTACAAGAAGAACTGCGCATGCGCACAAAGGGTGCCCAATTACCTGGGGAACCAGGGAACCGTCCAACAGGCGACACCACCAGAAACCACACAGCCACTAAAGGAAGAACGGGTGTGTGCGCCCATGTATTCCACTTCCACCCTGAATTGATTAAGCCCAAAGGCAAGGCTCAGCCTGAATAATAGAATCAAAACATCTGGCGCCGTGAGAAATACGCTCTGCAATGTGCTAACAGGATATGCGTTCAACTGCCCCAGTGGTTGTGGTTGTCACGCAAAACAAGTTGTGGTTGGGGGAGGCAGCGGTGCTGGGCCTCCCTGTTCCCTCCAGGTACTTTGGAGTTGTTTGACTCTTTTACAACAAGGAGATATTCTTGTATTATTTAGCATAATTAACCACATTAAAGTGCCCAAGCTTAATACCAATTCATTTCAGAATCTTTGTAAAATTCAGAAAGAAATATGAAAAATCACCAGCAGAATCATCACCCCTATAAGCAAAATCACTTGAGAGGCCGGCGCCGTGGCTCACTAGGCTAATCCTCCGCCTTGCGGCGCCGGCACACCGGGCTCTAGTCCCGGTTGGGGCGCCGGATTCTGTCCCGGTTGCCCCTCTTCCAGGCCAGCTCTCTGCTGTGGCCAGGGAGTGCAGTGGAGGATGGCCCAGGTGCTTGGGCCCTGCACCCCATGGGAGACCAGGAAAAGCACCTGGCTCCTGGCTCCTGCCATCGGATCAGCGCAGTGCGCTGGCTGCAGCGCACCGGCTGCGGTGGCCATTGGAGGGTGAACCAACAGCAAAAGGAAGACCTTTCTCTCTGTCTCTCTCTCTCACTGTCCACTCTGCCTGTCCAAAAAAAAAAAAAAAAATCACTTGAGAGACGGGTCACGTGCAGGACTCTCTGGCTTTGATAAGCTCCATTCTGAAAATTAGACACCCATCAGAGCGTACCTTCTGCAATTCACACCCACATCGCTTTAATGGTTTGACTTAATTTTGTTGGAAGCTAATAGAGAAGAATCTTAGAACACTTAGAGTCAACACGAGTCATTGCAAAAGCATGTTAACAGCCTGCACTTCTGACAGGGTCTGACGCCAGAGAGATGCCTGCACTGGCGTGGCAGAAGAACTTGGACTACAAGTGTGCACTTCGCGTGGGCTGATCCAGCCAATCACGAGGGGCCTGCCCGCCTTGGTCCATCACCTGCTCAAATCAGATCGATAATCCTGGTTATATGAAGCACGCTTCAGTGCTTTCAATTTTCCTGTGCCATCAGAGGCCTGAGCGAGAGCTGGAGTAGCTAATGGGAATTCTCGCATCCTTTAGTAAGCGGAGATCCAGGCCCCCTGAGGCCGGAGTTTGCACCAACTGCATACATCATTCAAAGTCTCACCCCCAGCCAGCTCCTGGCTGCCGGGCCCCTGCAATGGTTCTGTGCTCTCCTTTGTCAGCATGGTCACCTGGTCCATTTCCAAAGTCACAGTCATCCTGCAGAGGTGTCCCGGGACCAGGGTGCTGCTCCAATCCACTTCAGTATGGCTGCTGATCGCATTACCAGATTCACGCCTGGTAGCGCCAAGAAAGCATCCCTAAGAGCATGGCGTGACAAACAGGAAGTCCCAAGTCAGAGGAGCTGGTGGCTCCCGTAGACTCTAGCAGACACCTGGTGCTGTCCGTGGGAAGGAATGAAGCCCAGGGCAGTGAGGGGCTGGCCCACCCCCTGGCTGGCAGTGCCTGGTGGGTTTCCTATCCCAGCACCCCTCAGCATGGACTCGGAGTCAGGGCCACAGCCTGGGATGCGCACAGACAGAAAGAGGCTACCCGGAACCCCAGGGTCTGAGTGTGGTCTTAAGTTCAGCCGTTAAAAACGCACAATGATTTCTGGACCGTATTTGCAGAGCTGGGCAACTACCACCACGTTCCAATTTGATTACATTTCCATCTCCCCCAAAAGAGCCCCCTCCCCCAGTACCCACACACAGTCACTTCCTGGTCTCACCAGCAGGCATAGACATTGGTCTCTGTGGATTTGTCCATCTCTGGACCCGCGGGGTTTGTGGTCACTGGCTGTGTTTTGTGTGTCTGACCACACAGTCCTCGCCTTGGAGAGGAGGTGTGTTCTGTCGGCTGTTAGCTGTGACCAATCCTGTCTGTGACCGCAGCCTGCCTCGGCTGCCACTCCATGCACCGCAGGGCACCATTTTGTACCCTCTGTGGTGCCCTCTGTCCGTTCCCTGGCTGTATCCCTTTTGTTCAAACCAGCTCAGTGCATGCCTGCCTACGTCCAAGCTGCCAGGACCCCCCTCTAGTCTGATTTGGTAGTGGGCATTTCTGGCCATGCTGGTGGGAAGGGCATGGAGTCCACACCCTGTGGGCACGACCTCAACCAAAGCTGGCAGGGACCGTATGCAAACACCCCAGCCCCCTTCGACCCTGCAAGCGTGTGTGCTCTGTACTGGCTGTCGCTGTCCACGGCAGCCCGGCTGGACTGCTGACCGCACATCGACCATCTGCCAATGAGGTGTGATGAATCCATGTAACCGGGGACGGTGACCTTGGTCGGATTTACCTAGAGTCACACCCCTTACATTTCCTGCTCACTGAGGGACAAGGCGAAGCGACAAGTCCTGGCTTGGGAAGCTGGGATCCTACGTGAATCGTGGCAGAGATTGAGCTACCACATACACAACTTCGAGGACACTTTCAAATCCATGTATAGCTTTTTTTTCCCATAATGTGCATTTCCATGACCTTTCTGAAGACCCCTTGTAGGCATGGATCCCAAATTATTTTGCACCGAAACCAACTTATCTTTTCATTTCATTTTCCACGAACTTTCTGAAGGCCTCTCATTATATCATCCATAGCTGTAGCAGATACATGGT